CACCCCTTCTCTCATCAACTCCAGCATGATGCCAAGAAGATTTTCTTTGAAGATAAGCTCAACCAATTGAAGGATTTGGATAAAGATGGACAAACCATAAGTCATCAACTCCAAGGAGTCCGAAATTGATTAAAGGTGGGAGTCCTAATTCATAGAAGGTATGAATCTAGCCTTAAAAGAAGGAAGATGTGTAAAGAATTAGATTAGTTTTAGAATTTCAAATTCTAATAAGGTTAGATTATTATATGTAATTTTAGGGATTGGGATAAGAACTTAGAATTAGAAAAGGTTTTGAATTCTCTCTGTTTCTATATAAAAAGGGGAAGCCTTCGGCTTCTAAGGGGGACATTGGGGGAAAATTGGGGAGAGGGAGGAAATTGGGGGGAGAGAAATCTGAGAGTTGAGAGTGTTAGGTTCTCTTTGTATTTTGATGATGATTTAAAAACATGATTCAAAAGAGTTTAATCTATTTTTGTGCTAAGTGTGTAGGAAAATTAATCCAAGGTTTCTAATCTTTCCCCACGATTAGAATTAACTCATGTTCTCCTTGTTCAGAGTTCTGGGTTCAAACCAATTTATTTTGGTTCGAATCAATCCCGAACTTTTGTTTTCCGAAAATGGTTCGGACCATTATTTCTGGCTTCGAAGCAAAAAATTCTGGAAGGGTAAAATTTTGACAGCTCAACTATCCGTTTATTTTTAATGGCCTTGGGGGAACCAATTGTCTGAGTGTTTTTTAAAGTCAAGTCAAAAACAATAAAGTAAGGTGGAATCCAATTGGAGCATATGTGAGGTGGCTTTGAAGGGCTAAATGGACTTTAATTACAAGGCTCCAAAATCCCCTATTATAATGGTCAAAAATTCAGATCTGGAAAGTAGAGTGAAGAAGGACAAACTGCTACAGAGAACTCAGTTTGAAATTGTTCTGGTTTTCCTTCTTCTTTTCTTCTTGTGAGGCTTTTGGGTATATTGTCTTACAAGGGTTTTGTATTCTTCTTGGATTGGGTTAATCCTTGAAGGGGTTGAGTGAGTTGAGATTCACTTGTGAGGATTTAATCTTGCACCCGCAAGCAAGAGGTTGTTTCGGTTTAATCTTGCACCCGTAAGCAAGAGATTTCTAGTGGATTGAACTCTGGAGCAAGGAGGCTTGGGGAGTGGACGTACTCCGGGTTGGATGAACCACTATAAATCGTGGCTTGATTTTCTCTTCCCTCTCTTTTATTTTTTTGCACTATATTACTCTTGTTTATTCTGCACAATAGCTTATAAATTGCAGCTTTGATTTAAGTCTTGAAAGAAAAAGAAACAAGTTTTTAAGTTTAAATTGATAAGACCCAATTCACCCCCC